TGAAGAGTCATTAAAAATGTAAAATATGAAAGTTGCCATTTTTAATGATCAAATCGAAACGGAGAAAACCGTGTAAGATTTCTCGGTTTACTAAAACGTTGGTATTCACGCAGAGAATGTTAGCATCGTTTCGCACTGTTTAACGATCGGTCAGCTGTGTCCGAATATTTGGAAACGGACAGTTTTTCCGAAATAAAATGATTTCACGGTTCGAAGTGCACCGATTCTTATTCATTCGCATTGTAAACGTAATTCCGGTCTTTATCAACCGGCCGCTCTCATGTATATAGATAGGCGATACTCAGCGTGAATGGGGCGGCTTTATGCAATCTAACCTGGCTCGTGCAGGAATCTTCAATAGCCGGTAGGTCCAATTCGTCGTGGAACATTTACCAAACGCTAATCGAGTCGCGTGCACCGTGAGGCTTTCGCTCGCCTTTAAACTTTTAATTAACGAGGCAGAGTCTCACGAAGCCTAGCAACTTCCTTGAGAACCGCCATAAGGAAATTGACTCGGAGTGAGGTGGCGCGTTAACTTGCTCTCCAGTCTCATCAGCCAGTTAATGTACCCGTAGACATTGAGGGTGCATCATACGGTAGAAGCCCTTCAAGACTTTCGTATTGATCCTAGCGAATTTATTTTTAATAAGACAGGGCAAAAAGGACGACGCACAAGATTTTTCATGAAAACCGTGCAAAATCGAGAAAGCAAAGTCAATCGATTATTTTCGGCAATAATTCAAGACTGTGACGTCAGTGGACAATGTCTCTTGCTCTTTACTGCGGTATTCTTGTCCAATATCGAAAGTCTATTGTTCGTCTGCAAATAGCACGATGCTTTCGTTTCAATTGAATTTTTATAAACGTTAAATTAACAATCTTAAACACAGTCTCTTTACTTGTCTTTCTTTAGCGATTTTACAGCGTTTGCGCTTGAATTGAATTTTACAGTCAATACTAAATTCAGGAACGGTCGTACGGAAGTCTTTGAAAATTGGTCGCATGGATCAGCCAGTTGACCGAGTGAAATGGCTGAAAGCCAAGTCGAATGAGTCCAAGGTGCGCGACCGTGGGAATAGAGGAATAGTCGTAGGTATCTATCGTCGTCCTGGCCGTTTCTTTCGCGAGCCGAGCAAATCGATGCGGATCGGCCCGTACAGAAATAGAGAAAAAAGAAAGAGTATTCAGGTGCCGGGTACAACCAGATGGAAGAAGAAGAAGTAGAAGAAGATACAGCACAGTCTGGACCATAAAACGAGAGTCTCCGTAGAATCATTAAGCAGAAGCTATACCTTTATACATTACATTCAGAAAAGACACCTTTTTTTTTTTTAAATAAAAAAATTCTAAAAATAATTTTCATTAATTTCCGACAGAAGCACGACAATTCGTCAAAAATTTTTTATGTCTTCCCTTAATATATCTTACTGTCGTCTCGTGTACGTCACGCAAATGAACTACAGGTACAGGCTTCGAGTATATCTCGCCCTGGGGGTACAGGAACGCGATCTGGGTCACAATTAAGAAGAAAGCTATCTGCTTCATATTATTAACGTTTAATTGAACGGCAAGGACTTTCCCGTGACGATGGTCTCTCTGCGAATGTCTTCCTCGGGACGGGGATGGGACCTTTCACGTCTGGCACGCGTTAACACTTTGGAAAGTTAACGTGAAGTCTCATCTCGTGTTACGCCGTTACGTTCGCCGGTGCGTGGACGCATCGCGAGTGCGCTCTTAAATGCATCTCGGTCTGGAGAAGCGAAAGAGAACAAATACATGTATATGCATATGTTTGCCAAAGGATCGTTCCGAGGACCGAATTTTTTTATATTTCGAAATAACCAAGACTAACTTCCCATACCAATAGATATTAAATTTTATTTAATTATAATTATTATTTTTTATTATAACGCTCAAAATGTTTGAAATTGAAAAATATATGTTTCTTATGTATGTTTTATGTATTTCTTATGTATTTCAATATATATATATATATATTATGTATCTGTATCCTCAGACTGGAAGAGTCTTAAGGCTGCACGTACGGGATTTATAGGATGGATTGCCTTTTTTTTTTTAATTTTTTTTTTCTTGTACAATTTTATTTATTGATTTGCTCAGCGCCGAGGTCGACGCTTTCAGTATCGCGGGTGTTCCGCTGAGGCCACTTCATGGGCATCTCAGCGTCCCACTTCCTCGTTGCAGTAACGAGGAAATATTTTAACGACCGACACATGTTGTGCAACGAGTATGATACCTCTTTACGTATTACAGACACGAATTACAACGCTTATATATACTTGCTCTTGGTGTTGTAACTTTTCTCGATGCGGAATGGCACCGGGATGCAGGGGTAGTTCGCCATATGGCCGCTGAACGCTATTGCGAACATTACTAAAAGCCACCTGTGACGCTTGGATGAAACTAAAGCACGGCGCATACTTTGCTTAGGTTATTACAAGTGCGTTCGCACGTTCCCGATGCATCGTCTGCGACTCTGAAGGGGATAGACGTGTATATATATATATATTTGTATGTATATGAGACGAGGATGCTTGAAAAACTCTTGTCACGTGTAAATGTTTTTTTTTTCTTTTTTGTTAAAATTCTTACTAAGAGACTTAACGCGTGTGCCGCATACAAATGTTTTCGAATAAAAAAGTGAAATTGTGGGAACTCCGAATTTTTGTGGAATTTGCGATATTTTGTGTTTATTACTTATGACGACGTGATTGCGCAATAGCGGATCGGAGCGTAGACCAGAGATGAAAGAACGCTCGGAGTTACGACCTTGAGTTTTACATTCCAGACGTAAGACGCTTTTATTAGTTTAAATGATAATAAAAGATTCTCATACTTTTTCTTTAGTCTGGAAAAAAAAAACATATCGACCGTTCGGAAATACAGTTAGCACCGAGTTCCTATGTATAACTGTACGAAAAACGTGTAATACTTTGATTCCGCTTACGAGTAACCACAGCAGTCGTCAACGTGGAGATGAACTATCGCGAACGGCGCGTACTTTGCGTACAGATGATTCAGCGATTTGGAGCGGCGGAAAGAAGAGAAAAATAATAAAGGTAAAAAGAAGGGAAGGACGACAAAAAGATAGGAGATCGCGGCGACGGTCAAGGCGTTTCCACTCCGCACTGTCATTACGCAGGCATCGCGGGACGTTACGCGCGCTGCCTATTAAGGTAATAACGTTAAAGTCACGGCGGGTAATCCAGATTGAGACGAAATCGGGTGGATATCCAACGGATTAAGTATGGCACTCTGACCGCAGGCGCGGAGTTTGCATTCCTGCGAAATCACACGGGCATCGGAATTCCCGGATGGAAGTTAACGGCAAGCTCTATACCTGACGGTGGAAACGGTGGCCTAAGGTTGGACCGAGCACGCGACTTGGCGTGTCGCTTCATCTCGAATTCGCGATCCTTAACAACTCAAAGTCGGATGAGGTTAGTTCGATAGTCAAGATCCTTAAGAAATATCTTTGGTCGATGAATATTTTTTTGAGGTTAAAACAGACTGGATATATTTTGAATTTTATTAGGTGAGTCTCTCTCTCTCTCTCTCTCTCTCTCTCTCTCTCTCTCTCTCTCGTTTCATTCTTTATTTTTCTTTCTCTGTATACCAGGAACATATTCGTCCTATCGCGCATACAAAGCTCGTTGAATAATCGTGAGGACGTCCGATAATGGCCGTCTGTATTTTTGGTACGTGTTGACATTTCTCGCTTGTTTTTCTTATTCGGGAGTCAACAGCGCGACTGCACGACGACTGCATAAATATTTCAGCTGAAATAAAGAGGGGAGACTTTTTGTAAAAGTTTTTTTCAATCTCACTCGAGCTTCTATGTATTTTTTATTTTTCTAAACGTTGATGCAGTTTCAAATCATCGTTGCTCTGGAAATTTTTTTTTGCAAATTTTCGCACGTTCGTTCGCAAATTTAATTGGTGCCTTACATTGCCGTCGCGTAAGTTATTTGGATCTTTACGTCATTGGCACTTCGGTGCATTACTGCATTTGGTCACTTGGGCAATAATTGGAGCGGCACGATGAAAATTGTGCACGACATAAAACGAGGGCAATAAATAAGAGGCCAGATAGCCGCAATTATGTGGCAGATTAACATCTATGGCCACGGTACAACGTTTGTGCCCCGACTGCGCTCAATACGAATGCAATTCTAGCGCAGGAATTCATATAGCTACGTAAATGCACCACCTATGCACCAAGAGAGGCGTGCGTGTCCGCCCGCGCGTTTACTGCTCGAATCCAAGGAAAGGGGTACCTGCTCTGAGAATTGTACACTTTTATATATTCCCCTGGCTGTAAATTACGAATATCTATACCGCAGCGCCTTATGGCCGTTCTCTATGGATACTTTGCAACGTGCAATACAAATATACATTATGGACCATGCACTTGCTACGAATGTTACATATACACGTATCACGCGTTCAGGTCAATTCCATTAGTATAAAGTATCTGCAGTCTTATCATGTTATTTTCACACCGAACTTTCATTTTTTTTCTTTTACATTCCCACCGTTTAATTATTTTTTCACTTTTTTTTTTTTTTTTTTTTTTTTTTTTTTTTTTTTGGTATATGGTACCGTTAGACGATAAATCCAACATCGCAACCGCTATTATTCGGACGCAGGGTCTGTGCGTATGTTTCGAGTGAACGGTAAAGTAGAATTGATAGATTGAAGAAGAAAATTTTTTTTTCTTTTATTTTTCATTTTTTCGGGTTAATCTGTAAAAAGGCGACAGTGCTTTTGGATAATCTGTCTTGGCACTTGGCCGTGATAATAAACGTTGACTTCTTTGCTCTGCATATGTTTACTTTCACTCGCGTTACTTTCTATCGTTCATCGTTAAGGAGGAAGGCGTGGTATCGCGTGCGAAAAATAGTCGTCGATACACATTGTTACCCTGATCGATATCACGTTCATTAATTCAAGGACGCATTCTTCTTTTATTCACGTAGATATCCAAACCATCAGTGGACACGCTCGACCTGTACAGAGATGCCGAGGAGCAGAAATCGCTGAGATTTTATACACGGCCGGATACGGCCCAAGGAAGAATCATCATGGAGTGATCTTCACTCTCTGGTAAGTTTTATTTTTTCTCTTTCTTCCTCTCTCTCTCTCTCTCTCTCTCTCTCTCTCTCTCTCTCTCTCTCTCTCTCATCTCTGTTTTTTCTGTCTGTTTATTCTCACCTGCAATAGCGTAACCTAACCTAACCTACGCATCTGGTTACGGTACGACCATGCTTCTATGATTCACTATATGCATATATAGTTTCGTATCATTCTATCCCAGTGGCGAAGTCTGTCGTCCCTATAATGCCAAAGATTGCATCGTGTTCCTCCCTATTTTGTAAATGCCCTGACAATACGTATAAAGTAAAAAGTGTCAGATATCATAAAAACCTGAAATATTCGACCCGCTGAATTACGTTCGCGTACCGATGCTGAATTTTGTTATTTATTCTTTTTTTACTTAATCTTTTGTTCTCCCATTTTGCTATAACGACGAGAGTATTGTGCTCCTACCTCACGCGTACACGCGGGACAATCGGGCCGGAGTCGCGTGTGCGCATGCGCGAACGTTAAACGCGAAACTCAAACGGTTACGGGGAACTCGCCATTCAGCGCGTGAGAATATACAAAGACTTTTTTCCACAACGTTTCACCAACGCTCCCATTGAAATCGAGTGAAAACTACGCCGCGCCGATTGCTTCCTATGAACGCGCACGACATTTCACGTGTGCAAAAAGCGCGTCCAGTGCATTCTCCTATGTCGATGACTATATAATATATATATATACATACACTCCTATAGGTATATATATATATACATGACGTATCTATGAGCCACCGTTAATCTATATACCGGGATCTATTAGCCGTGTATTGATAACGAGACACTGCCCGGTAGCTCTGGTAATTTTTTACGATGCATCCGAGATAACAGCATTAACAATCCGCAGCATCTCGACAATTGCCCCGGATAACTTCATTAATTTCTGCCGTGTCACGAGCTGCCGAGACGCGCGTGTACGTAAATACGTGGGACGCGTGTAGTTATCGTATACAGAGTATAGAAAGGAAAACACGTGCGAAGCACGTACCGCGCTGATAAATAGAAAATAGCGTACGTACGAAATCATTTGTTCCACTGAAATATATCGGTGTTACGGATTCGATCGATTCTGCATGAGATATGAAAATTATGGATATTTGGACGACGGGGGGGAAAGCGGAGGTAGGACGAGGAGCCTTGTTGCTAATTCGAAAGTAAGAGTTCGGGAAGCGAAACGGATTCCGCTAATTGGCCTTTGTTTCCGAGTAATTAAACACTATCTGGTTTTTTTCTTTTTTTTTTTACAGACTGAATCTTGATTTTTCTTATAACAGGTCGCCAGAATGTCCAGTCGTTAAGTATCGGTGTATCAAGGGTCCGGAAGTGATTTCTGACGTATACAGTTATATCTCGGTTGATACGTATTCGGTTTCTCTTGGAACGACCTGTACACCCGGTGCATACTACTGGATCGCGGAATAGAGTCTGGTATCACGGTGTTATGGCTCGTTTGCAATGGCGCATACCTTGCCAGCTGCGCCTCGCCTAGAGCATTGCGATTCCTACGCCATACCACATCACTGTACGTGCATGTACGTATATTCGTTTCTTTTAATTTTCTTTTGAAGTTTCACGGGCACCGCCTCTGGCTTCGTTGCTTATACCACGTATCGTACGTCGCGTTCCTTAGCACTTTTCTGACTGTACTGTACCAGTCGACGGCACTGAGTTGGGATATTTATTTTTGTCATCGACTATTCGAGTATCGGAAGTTTCGTCTATGATGGACGAAAGTAGATATACGTATATGTTTTTCCTTGGCGACTATGCAGACGTGTCGGTAGGTATAAATATATACAGGATTGAAAATAATCAATCCGTAAGAGAAAAAGGAATTGCACTTACGCCAGAACGAATATCGCTATATCTTCATAGGCGCGACTTGCCGCTCGCTTTTGCACGGACCCGGGTGCGAGGGAGGAGACGATAAATCGTCCGGAGATAAATATCTACTTGTTCGCCGGTCAGGTGGGTTCGGCTGGGTGCTGGAGAAAAGAATGAGAGAAGAAGAGAAAGATGGAGACGTCGAGAGTGAAAAGGATACGGTGAATGAGAGGTAGCGAGTGGGTGGTAGATGGGGAGGGGAATGGGTACAGGCACGAGTAGGGGGAGTATTGGCCTGGGTCACCTTTTCGTCAAGGCCGCTTAAGGTTGTCGCTACATGAAAATCGAGAGTGACCTTCCGTCATTCTCAATGCTGCTACTCGCTGACCATCTAGTGATATTGACATTCTATGTGCCCATAAATGCGTAACGGCTCGCGCGAACGACACCCGCGAGAATAAAATTATGTCTCGCGACGACAATCGTTCCTAATCTCTTAAGATGAAAAAAAGCGTTTGAGAATGATTTTAAAAAATACGTGCAATGAGGAAAAAAATTAATTTTGTACCCAATCTCTGTTTTTTTTTGCTCGACAGTAAAAAAATGTGGCGTTTTCAAAAATAAAGAAAGCATTGTCACATGCCAACGGAATAAACCAGACGGAGACTATTTTTTGTTGGAGACAAGCCTTGTTGGTGAATAGGTGCCTAAATACGACTGTCACCTTCAGCAGGTAATCATTATGCACCTCGCGTGTATACACGTATACACGTCCGATAGACCCGGCTCATTATCAATTCGTCAGGCGCCTCGCGCAATGATAATCACGAAGTCAAAAGGAAGAAGTCTCTTGTCCCAAACCGAAGCTTCGGTCGTGTTTCTGGGTAATTTTCGAGAATCTTCATTGTACACGCGTCATATACCCATATAGGTATTCTTATCAGCGGTGGAACCTCACGCTCGGCCAATGTCATTCGGAAGTATTCCGTCGTCGTGGATGAAAGTGTTTTCGCGCGTCTCCACTTTCCGTTCTGCGACTCTGCGGGTCGCTGGTTACTCGGCGATTCCAGCGAGAAGGAACTGTGCCGGCTGTATGCAGGTATAGCGTGTACGGTACGTTGAAAGGTTCGACAGGCGAGTTTACATAGTGCCACGTGCGAAACGAGAGTGAAGAAATAAAAAGACGACAGCCGTCAACGTACGTAGCGGGAACGTCGTTATTGAAACGAACCGACTGGCTTCTGCGGTTTTACCAACAGCGCGGTTTGCGGCTTTCCTTCCGCATTCTGAAAATTCTTTAACTGCGAGTACCGATGATTTCTAATGGACCAGTATACGGAGCCGTGGCTGTACAGCTATATATATATTTTTTCTTTTGTTTCTGGCTACCCGCCGATCGCCTCACTGGGTATCTGCCTTTACACTGTATGCGCCCGGAGGCGCTTTTGCTTCTTAATAATTTTCTACGTCCCAACGGCGATCGGCGTCTTTTGCACGAGATTTCTAATAATCTTTGAGATGCTTTTTTTATGTCTTTCTTTTCCCTTCGAAGAATTCAAATCTTCTTTTTCTCATGTCTGGGCTCCTCGCGTTCTCATATTCTCTACGGCATACTCCTGTAATAATCCTATCGGCCGAAGATCGGCTACTTGATTGCCGATGCCAAATTACGCTACGTGTATATATATATATAGACGCACTCGCCCGTTCTTATCGATGTACGCAGGTGAGAATGGGTGTGCCGCGATGCTGTTGCTGTGTTCGTATGACCCAGATGCTTTGCGAATGAAACTCATCGAGTAACCATTCTTGACATCCTTGGTCCCGATAGGTGTCCGGGAATTTCTTGGTACTCCTCGTAAAGCCGCTTTAGCGCGTCGCGACGCCCGCTGTCCCGCGTGCCGTATGGCAATCTTCCCGTGACTCGGCTGTGTACGCATGAATTTCTGTCGTTCCAATTGTTTAGAGATGCTGTATACGTACGTATACGTAGACTCCGAAACGACGACTCTCGTCCAGTCGTCATCTATAAGAATCAATGATCCAACTTCTTACCGACCTCCCCCACTTTTCACTAAACTCGCAAAATTCGTTTTGTTGCGCAATATTAAAAAAAAAAGAAATTTTTCTTCAAATTATTCGAGTCCATTTTTTTTTACACGAAATATTGCTTATCTGTCTGCGCATACTGCTATTCCATATCATTGTCGACTTATACGCTTCCAGTTAACCAACCCGAACATGCAATTGCTCTCAAACCGTGCGATAGCCTTTCTAATCGGCGACTCGCGATTCCGGCATGTTCGCCAAACATACTTAACGACCTATCGAACGTCGATCGTTACGAAATTGGCAATATCTATCGCTCGCGTTTTACGAAAGCCTCGTTCAAATTTCGCTTGCATCCGGAATCTCGAAACCTTTTCTAATTGTCAATTCGTCGCGTCGCTGTCGCTTTTCGTACGAGACATGAAAACTAAGCCGGTCTTCATAGCGACCAATGAGGATGCGCATATATATTGCCACGTAGAAAGCACGATATTATGTGTTTATAGGGTGACACAAAAATTACGGCACACTTTCTACAATCGAGGTCCCGTGACAGTTATGATGATTGAGTGTGATTATGCACTCTGTGAATGACGATCAGTCGCTTTTATTAATAGCGTCATTTGTCTCGCGCGCCGTCTCCGGCGCCAATTTTTCAATTGCTTCTCACATTTTCTTCGATTAGGATTGCAAATCACACGATGAAATCTCCAGATGCCAGACGCAACATCATCCCCGAACGTAAGGACGTATGGTAGCTTCCGGATAACTCGAGGGCAACGTTTCTAGCGGTTTTGGTATTAGTTTGACGTAAAATTATGTTAGTAATTATATATATATATATATACTTTTTTCTTTCTCCTTCCTTTTTCTCTAATTCTCCCACGTAATTAGACGACTTATCTCATCGTGTTCATCTTCCGAGACGTTCATCATCCCGCGCTCGTTCCCTTTTTTCACTTTTTTTTTCTTCTTTTCGTTACGTCTCCTCTTCTTTACTCCTTCCTCCTCCCTCTGTTACCCTTTCCCTATTGACGACCGCGCAGCTATTCTTTGAGCCACGAAAACTGGGCCGCTCATGCTTGGCCGATT